AGGGAAAGGGTACTGAGTTGGAAATCAGCCCAAAATGTTACTTCAGCTTGGTCGCTGACCCCTGAGTGACTTTGAGTAAATCTCTTCATCTCTTTCATTTATCTCATGGGTAAATTAGGGGAATGAAAAAGAAAAATCATTATATTCTTTTTGTCTGAACATTATTTCATACAGGGTTATGAGATTTATTTTTAGAATAAAGAAGAAAAAATAAGTGATTTTTATAGCAGGCAAGTAGACTTATAGATTATTCTAAGACTTTTTTTTTTTTCCCAGAGTTTTTTTTTTGCTATAGGGTGCATGTGTTCACCAGAAAGAGAGAGACAGAGTGATAGAAAGCAAGAAATCACCCCCTGGGGGGATGACCATGCCACAATCTTCTTCTCCATTCTCCTCTCAGGATCCTGGGCATGCATGCACAGGCGCCCAGCGTGAGTTTAAGCCAGCCACCGGGTCCGGGACTTGAACTGCAGTCAACTACATGGGAGTCCAGTGACATAGCCATTACGCTAACTGCTGATCCCTCTAAGACATTGTTTTAGATAGTTTATATTAATAACTTCCAAATGAACTGAAATAACATTTTATTTAAATTTATTCAACAAGTATTCGAATGCCTGATTTCAGATAGTGTACTGAGAGGAGATAAAACCCTAAAAAACTGGTTATCAGGGCATAAGACCCTAAGATAAAGGCACAATAGTCAAGTGTACACTAAAAATAGCTTGATCATAAAAAATGGCTTACAGCAGGGACCCCGTTAATTAACCTGGGAACACTTTCCTGTGTCCCCACTACGTTCTAAAGCCTAGGTAATAGTTTTAGGGCCCAAAACTCAAAAAGTCAAACAAACATTGACCGCTAGATAATGGTCTCTAAAACCTAAAGCTCTTAAGCAACAATTTAAACAATCATTTACCAAAAGTTCTCTACATATACAGATCCCTAAATGTGTAAAACGACATACCAAACATGTGACCCCTGTGGAGACAAAATGTAAACAAGTCCTTCCTGGCTAAGATAAAAATCCCAATGAGAAGCCCAGATTAACAGCCTACGTTCTGGTCCTTGCTGCCTGAGAGCTGTTGTTACCTTTCAGTTAACTCTGTTTTACTATCCTTTTTATTCATCCACATTTTAATTCTTCGTAAACATAAAACAAAAAATCAAGGTCTCTACTGTCTCTGCATTAAGTATTAGGCCCATACACCCCAGTAGCCCATGTTCAAACTAGGCGTTTAGGAACCAGCAGCAGTAAGATAGATACATTGGAATGACTGCTCTCACATTGCTTGTCTTCTAGTAGTATGAGACATAATAAGCAGTGAATAAAGTCATACTTTTTTTTGATGGTGAGAAAGGCTGTGAAAATTGAAAAGCTGGAGGGATAATAGGGAGATTGGAAGGTTGAATGTAAATTTAGTGAGGTGTCAAATGTTGAGAATAGTCATATCTTTTTGGTGCCTCCCTCAGAGTTCTTAAATCATGTATCTTGTTTAACTTGTGGCCTCTTATTTCGTAGGGTTCTGTGTATTTCTCTGAAGAGGAGGGCTTTTTGTTTTATTTTAACTATTCAGTGGAAATGAGTCATTTAATTTAGGGAAGTCCTAAGCCTACTAAAGCTTATCCTGGAGCCATAGTATATGAAAGCTAAAAACATGCTTACTAGGCTGGCTCTATTACAGTGGTTAAGCACAGTGCATTGGAAGCTGGATCCCATCATGGTGGCCTGAAAAACATGCCAGGCATATCTGTATGTGTGCCCAAAATTATGACAGGAAGGCGAAATGGAGGGAAAAGGCAGAGTGATCATGCCTTGTTGGGGGGTGCTTTATCTCTCTTTCTTGTTTTCCCTCCCTTCTCTCCACCTCCCAAGCACATGGTCAATTAAAGAAAAAAACAAGTTGCTAATGTGCAGTTTTGAGCCACTTATCCAGTGGTAGCTACAACAAATTTGATACATAATTAGAACAACCATACCAAACCCTTGCTATTATCCTCTCTCATTTTACTTCTGATACAAGTTTTGGTATTCAGACAGGATTGTACAGGCTATAAATAGCAGAATTATAATTGAGCTCGTTTCATCTAATTCTCAATCCTGTTCCCTTTCTACTTTGTTACTCCATTGTCTATACCAAATGTGAAATGTCTTATAGTTCAGAAACGTGGATGAAATGAGGCAGTATAAAGCACTGGAAAGATCACTGCTATAAAAGTCAGAAGAGCTATTGATACATTCCAAGTCTTAGTTTTACCAACTGGGAAATTTTTTTATAAGCTAGAAAATCAGCCCTGACTTAATCTTTTTTACATGTAAATTAGTGGCTTATATGAGATCATCTTGATTTTTCCTTTTAATTCTTTTTCTTTTTAAAGTTTAGATATTTTATTTTTTCCATGTGCACAAGAGAGAGAGAGAAACTGGCATCCAGGCACCCTTAATAGGATTCTGTCACACTGTAATCTCCCACACTGCCTGTGCCAACTGTGTTTCAGATTTTCCTGGTATCCAAATCATGGTCTTCCATTGGGCTTCAGAACTGCCGAGCAGAGGCTTAACACCTATGCCACTCTGAGTGGACTTAATAATTGTAAATGGCTGACTTATAGTTAGGATTTCAGTAAACTCTTTGCATGAGAGTCTGAACAACTTTCTTTTTTAATTGCCAGATGGTACCTACACTCACCAAAGAAAGACGAGAGAGAGACAGACAGACAGAACCTTCCAGTGGAGTGTCATAATCCCTTCATTTCTTTATCTTATTGGGATTTTGGACATGTACATACACTTGCCCAATGTGCCTTTCAAGCTGCTGGGGCTGGGATTCAAACCATAGCTGGCTATGTGGGATCCAGCTTCCTTAACAACTAGGCAACAGGGCCATCCCTAAACAGCCTATTTTGTATTAAAGAATATTATAGCGAGCTGCAATGTATTAAGGTTTCAGATTGGCATTTATTTATTTATTTATTTATTATAAAGAATTATTTATTTAATTTTATTTACTCATTCATTTTTATTTTTAATTTGACCGGAGAGATACAGAGAGAGAGAGGGACAGTGAGAAAGCAAGCCACCAGGTCCAGGACCCGAACTGTGGTCAGCCATATGGAGCATGGTGCACCTTAACTACTGTGCACCTGCTGGTCCCCGGTATAGTTTATTTTAAATTATTTTAGGAAATAAAAACTATATTTTACCTACTTTTGTGTATTAGCTAATTTTTTTAGTTTGAAATAATATTGTTTTATATACATTGTTCTTTTGAGCCTCATAATAAATTGGAAATTCTAACCATTAATATTTTAGGGAAAACTTAAAAATGAAAACATATTTAAAGTTTATGCTTGCTTCCTGAATACTCTTGCTAGTTAACACGAAGACATAGCCTGAAATAGTGATTATTGCTTAATATCATTATTTTCTTGAACTTTTGTATTGTAATAGTTGCTCTCCTTTGGTGAAAAGCAGTGTATGTTCTTCAGTAAAGTTGTGGTTCACATGAGACCGATTTCAGCAAATCCATCAACAAGCTTCCCTGTTCCAGGATCAAGGATAGACCTAGACAGGGTTCAAACCATAATGGAGTCCATGGGGTCAAAGTTATCACCAGGCGCTCAGCAATTGATGGACATGGTTAGATTTCAGCAGCAGGTAAGTAGAACTGGATTTCCTTTTAGGTACCATTAACGTTTCAAAACAATGGCATTTTGTAAGGACATGTAGTGCCTTAAATTTTTTCTTTGAACTTTTTTTTTGGAGAGGTTTTTGCTATAGGGTGCGTGTGTACTCACCAGAAAGACAGAGACAGAGAAAAAGTGAGAAATTACCCCACAAGGGGGATGGCCACGCTGCAGTCTCTTTTCCTCCATTCTCCTCTCGAGATCTTGGGTACACATGCACAATGTGCCCAGCATGAGTTTAAGCCACCGGGTCCGGGACTCAAACAGCGGTCGATTACATGGGAGTCCAGCAACATAGCCATTACACCAACTGCTGGTCCCTGAACCTTTTTTAAAAAGATTTTTGTGTTAGGACACGTGTGCTTATGGGATGGAGGGGAGGAGAGAGAGAGACAGTGAGAGGGAAAGTAGGAAACCACCCCCTAGGGGGATGGCCATGTTGCAGTCCCTTCACCTCCTGGGATCGTGGGCACACATACACATGTGCCCTGTGTGATTTTCAAGCCACAAAGTCTGGGACTCATCCTACTGTGGTTGGCCATGTGGGAGTCCATTGATGTAACTGCTATACCATTTGCTAGCCCCTCTTTAAACTTTTTAGAAAGTTCTTTATGTATTTTCTTTCTTTCTTTTTCTTTTTTAGAATTATGTATTTAATTCCACTTGTTACTGTTATTTTTTAATTTTATCAGAGAGAGAGAGAGAGAGAAAGGGAAAGCGAGAAAGCAAGCCACCAGGTCCAGGACTCGAACCAGGGTTGGCCATGTGGGAATCCAGCGCCCCTATCCACCACACCACCTGCCGGCCCCTCTTCCTTTATTTTTATAAAAATAGCATTTCATTTACCCTCTTACAAAATGTTTTGACTGTAGTTTCACGGTTTTCCACTAATTCATTTACTCATTCAGAAAGTATTTATTGAGTGCCTTATAATTGAACAAGACACTGGTCTGAGTACTTTTGATAGTACAGAGATGGTCAGTTAGTCTAGAACCTGTCCTTAGTTATCTTTATCGCCTAGAGCATGTAAATCAAGAATGAAGGGGTAGATTAGGAAAGGCTTACTAAAGGAAGTGGCATTTTATCTAGGTCTTTAAAGAAGAAAGGTGGAATTAAGCAAGTAAATTTGGAGACAGGGCATTCCAGAGAAAGAAAATAGTATGGATATGGGCCTGCAGGTGGGGTGGTTGTAGGACTGCCACATGGCCTTACCATGGTTTGAGTTTTGGACTGGTGGCTTGCTTTCCCACTTTTCTTCTCTCTAGTCAAAAAACAAACAAACCAAAATAATAATAATACTAGCAAATAAAATTAAATAGTTTTTTTGGGGGGTTTGCCTTAGGGCACGTGTGCTTTCTAGAGATAGAGAGACAGAGACAATGAGAAGAAAAGTGAGAAATCACTTCTCTGGGGGATGGCCACGCCACAATCCCCTTTTCTCCTGAGATCTTGGGCATGCATGCACATGCACCTGGCATGAGTTTCAAGCTACTGGGTCCAGGATTGAACTGGGGTTGGCCATGTGGGAGTTCAGTGACATAATCACTATGCCATCTGCTGGCCCAATAAATAATTCTTTAAAAAAGAAAGAAAGAAAATAATGTGGATAAATCTTCAATGCAAGAGGGATAGGAGACAGCCTGAAATGAATAGAAGTTCATTTCTCTAGAATGAAGATATATAAGAGAAGTTTAATGTAGATTTGAGGTAGATCAGAGGGAGCTCTTTTTCCTTCCTTTCCTTCCTTACTTTTTTTTTTTTTTTTTGAGAGGTTTTTGCTATAGGGCGCATGCGCTTGCCAGACAGACAGAGAGAGACATAGAGACAGAAAGCGAGAAATCTCCCCTCAGGGGGGATGGTCACATCGCAATCCCTTCTCCTCCATTCTCCTCTCGGGATCTTGGGCACACACGCACATGCGCCCGGCGTGAGTTCTAAGCCACCGGGTCTGGGACGCGAACCACGGTCGACTATGTGGGAATCCAGTGACATAGCCATTTCGCTAACTGCTGGTTCCCCCTTTCTTTCCTTTTTTTGGGAGAGATTTTTGGTATAGGGTACGTGTGCTTGCCAGAGAGACAGAGAGAAACAGACAGAAAGCAAGAAATCATCTCTGGGGGGATGGCCACACCTCAATCCTTTCTCCTCCATTCTTCTCTTGGGATTTCCTGACGTGCTTTAAGCCTCTGGATCCAGGACTTGAATCATCATTGACTATGTGGGAGTCCAGTGACATAACCATTATGCTATCTGCTGGTCCCACATTTCTTTGTTTTAGTGCCAGAATGTATGGGTGTATGCATTAGAGATTGAAAGAGCAAGAGAGAGAGAGAACACTTCCAGTAGCACCTGGTCACACCACAATCCTTTTTCTTCCATTCCTCTATCCCTTCCATTTCTTTTTTTCTTTTTTTAAAAATTTCTATTATTTTATTTAACTTTATTTATTCACTTCTTTTTAATTTGACCAGAGAGGGGCAGAGTGAGAGAATGAAAGTAAGAGAGACAGAGAGAGAGAGAGAGGAAGTGAGAAAGCAAGCTGCCAGGACCGGGACTCAAATCTCAGTCAGCCATGTGGGAGTCCAGCATCCACCAACCACCATACCATCTATTGGCCCCCACCCCCTCCATTTCAAGATCTTGGACATATGCACATATGCACCTGGTATTTTTTTTAAGTTACCAGATCTAGGATTTGAACTGTAGGCTGCTATGTGATATCTGGCTCTTTCTACACAGCGCTTAACAACTGCACTATGGGGACATCCCTAGAGATATTTGAATGCTATTTCAAGTTTGCAGACTTAGGTTTTAAGAAATTTTAAGCCATTGTTATATACAAGGTGAATCAGAAGAAAATGCGATTATAAGAAGGGGACTAGCTACATGTGATTTCCCTTGTCTAGATGAGAGTTAATGATGGTCTAAAATGGGACAAGGTAACTTAATGCTAGATTGTAAAATGTTAAAACAGTGGGGCCATTGAGACTTGAGACTTGACAACTAACTTAATATTGATATAGGAGAAAAATAGAATTGAATGTGAATTCAAGGTTTTTTTAAGGAATATACATGGATCCAAAGGAGGATAATATTGAGAAAAAAAGGAGTTTAATTTTGGAAATACTGAATTTTAGCTGTGAAGAAGACATTACCTTGAAGTTAGTGGCAAGCATTTAGTAACAGAATTGTGGGAGATAGAATTTCATTGTGTGGAAGGGAGGTTGAGAGGTGAACCCACAGTAGCTACAGGAAGCTTGGTGAAGCGAGAGACTGAAGCAGGGAAGAAAGACCCTTGGAGAGAAGCTACGTTGGGCAAGGGTATAAGGAGAGGAAAAATGACACAGAAAAGTTGAAAACAACAGAAGGATAGTGTTGCAAGGAGAGATTTGATGGCAGGCTAAGTAACTTCAGGTTCTGATTCTTTTTTAAAAATTTGCCCAGGAGTGTGTGGTTGCCGGAGGTGGAGGGTAGAGGTGGAGACAAAGGAGAAGACATCCTGTGTGGGGCATGATCATGCAGTAATTCCTTCTCCATCTCTCCCTTCTTTTGGTATTTTGGGCAGGCGTATACATGTGCCCACAAGCTCTGCCAGGTCCAGGACTCCACTGTGTGGTTGGTCAGGTAGAATATAGCCACTTCAGCCACCAGGCCACAGGCCAGTGCCAGGTTTTTATCCTGTTATTTATTAGTTATGCATCCCTTGGCAAGTTGACTGATAGTTTTTCAAAGATGGATTCTCATGTATAAAATCTAAATGATATACTGAAAAGATGACAGGATTGATGGGAAAATTTAGAGTAAATAATGCTAGTAAAGAACTTGTAAATATCACAAGGTTTACAAATATAAGTTTAGTGTTAGAATTGGTGTATAGGTAGAGTTATGAGAATTATGAGAGTTGGAGATTGTGGAAACCATGGAAAGAAGAGTTTAAAAAAAGATGGAAATCTGTACTTTATTTGCCACCATTATCTCACCTCAACACCTTAGATCTTCCTGCTGTGCTACAATCCGTTCTCCACACTGCAATGAGAAAGAGTTCAGAGGGTGACTAGCCCTCAGCCTTCCCTGTGTAAAGCCCCCTGACTGCTTCCCATCCTACTTAGAATTAATCGAGATTGTTTACTCTGACTTTTAAAATATAGGTGCTGTTTACCTCTTCAACCTCCTCTCCTGCTGCATTTCCTTGGGTACCTTCCTATAGCTATTCTGATGTATGTAACCCTCAAATACCCAAATGTCTTCTACCTTAGGGCCACTGAGCTTGTGACTTGTCTCTTTC